AAATTCATATAATTTATTGAGCACTTGCTATGTACTAGGTAAGGTGTTACTTTTAAATGTTCTCTCATTTTATCCTTAAAATAATCCTACAAGGTTAGGTTTTATTCTTTCAATTCTGTATTTGAAAACCTATGGATAAGAAAGGTTAAGTGACTTGATCAACTTTTTCACACATCTCTAGAACTCCAAAAATAATTCCCATAACCACTGAAGATCTATTATATACTTAAACCAAATAGGTGAATGGGAGGAAAAACAATTTTAAATTCTCTTATTTTGGTTCCATTGGGAAAATTACTCTGATCCAGAGGCATTGGTTTACACTAAATTCTGCATATTCCTATATATGGTGGTACCTTGGTTCATGAACTTAATTCTTTCTACAATTCTGTTCGTACACAGAATTGGAAGAGAACCGAATCAAATTCAATGGTTAGGTTCAATGTTGACCTTATAGGGAAATTTTATTTGGTTCTCTTACTGGTTGGGTACTTCTCTGTCCTTAAATGCAGTGAGGTCCTACTTAATTCTTTTCGTCTTTCTGAGTCACTATTCTTCATTTTTTTTTTTTAATCAGGAGTTTGTATTACATGATTCTTAAGTTGGTTTAGGGCCTAAAATCCTTTAAATTCATACTTTTTTTTAAAACTCAAGAACAGAGATTACTTGGAGTTCACCAACAGATTTTAGAGATCTGAATGTACAAGTCTGGTTTCATGATTCGCCTAAAATAATATGCAAAATGTACATGTACATGCATTTTTCTGGAAAGGTAGGTAGTTCACAGATTTTTTTCAGATTTTCATAGTTTTGCATAACTCACCACTCACCTTCTATCCCCCAAATTAAGAAACTGTAGCTCTAGAAGTATCTTTGCATAATGTAATTAACTGCAATACTTCATGCAGACCCTGGGTAGTTAAGTCATCTTTAAAAGAGGTATTGCTGCTCTTTCAAAGTCATATTTTGAAGTAAGGAACAAATGTATTCATATTAAAGGAAGTGGTTATTTTTTGGATCTTTAATCATATTATGTTTCTGATCTATTAATCAACTAAAACACTTCTTGGTTATCAAATAGAATAAAAGTTTGATTCTGCCTTTTGGTAAATTAAAGAATGCTCACTTTTAAGGAGTAATTCAAATGCCCTTCACTAATATATGTTCTCTACTTGCCGTCTTCCTTTAGGAAGAGAATACTTGAGGTCCATTTGTAAAGAAAGAAAAGGAAAGAAGGACAGAGTGCCTAAAGTTGGAGCCAGTTAAACTAGGTTTGTACATTTTCTTTCCATTATGTAACATGGTCTTCTGGTCTTAAATCCCTTTTAATCAATATCCTGCTTTGTTCCAACAGCAAATCTTCTCATTTTAAACCTTGCCATAGTTGGAGGAGACAAAGATAAAGAAGATATGCCCTTTCTAAGTATTTGTACCCTAATTGTGAATATGAAAGACAAAGGATAAAAAGCTAGATAATCTCATTTTAAGAAGATCAGCTTAGTGAAGTTTAGTAAATTGCTCAAGGTCAAGCTCTTAAAACAATCAAGCTGGGCTTCAGATTGAGATCTGTTAACTGCAAACCATATTTGCCTTTTATTATGTCACAGTGCTTCTCATTTTTGATATAGTTTGTTGTGTAACTGCTGGTTACTGAAGTTGAGGACCAGGACCCATGCATACCTCTTTCATTTAAACTTTCTGAGGAAGTAAACAAAAGGGAAAGCCTTCTATATTTTCCTAAAGTGTAGATTAGAGAAAGGAGCTAACACTTACAAGTACCTACTATTTTAAGGCCTTGAGGTAAGTTAACTCATTTAATTCATAATAACCAGATGACAAAGTTGGCATTATCCTTCCTCTTTAAAACAGAAAGCTAAATACATTGCTCAAAATCACATAACTAATTAATAACAAAAGCAGAATCAAAGCAAAGAAAGTTTAAATAGAGTTTATTTCTTGTCTATTGGCTTAAAATTTAACATTGCACAAAGTGAACAAATAGCTGGACTGTTCAGTCTGAGTACCTGCAGCTGTTAGTGTCATTTATAGACACCTTTATTTGGCTATTAGTAGTTGAACCATCTCACCAGAATAATATGTACATCTCGTTAATAAGGTTTTCATTGTAACAGGTTGTAAAAGTAATTGTTTAAATGGCATAATTCTATTTGAATAGAGATTTTCAATTCACAGAATAGTAGACATAGTTACAGATGAAAGGATGGACTTACCTTTCCACTGATGTGGATGCCATACAAGTCCTTACCTTGCTCTCATGCTCATTTTGAAGCATGAGAATAAGTTAAGTGTTTTCTCAGTCTGTTAACAGATTTTCAAATGTGCTTCAAATGTAAATATCAAAGAATTTTTGGAAATGGGAAGTCTTCAGAGATCACTTAATTGAATCCTCCCATGTGACAGATGAAGAAACCGAGTCCCTCACATTTGTGTAGCACTCTACACATTTCAAAGCTCTCTCTCATCCACTCATCTCCTGCAAGCCTCATCTCATACTGATGGGTTAAATATTACTATCTTTGTTATACATATGACTAAATTGAATTACCTCAGGGTCGTATAGTTGGGCCTAAATTAGCTGATTCTGTGACTGTCTGCCTAAAGTTTACCGTGTTTTCTTGCTTTGATGGGACTGATTACACCCATGTGATGAAATGTGCAAGAGGGTGAGAAGTCATTGATTTATAAATAAATCTAAGCAGGAAAATAACTTTTTCCTGTGATGAAAGGAGTAATGACTACAGTTGTGTAAAGGGCAGAAACGAAGAGGTAAGGAAGTGGCAAAAACTAGGGTCCTTGGATTGATGGAATCTCTATTTTTATTGGTTACTAGATTTGGAATAAGCCTAATTGTTACTATCCTTGAGTTTATCAATAGTGTGATATTTGGGTTTCTTTTTCCTTACCAAGTAATTCAAAGAGACCATACTTTATAATGAACTATTTATAAACTGTAGTTAAGCTAAAGGGAACTTAAAAGGGCTGTTGCAAAAGTTTACCCTAAAAACAAAGGAATCATAGGTGTGAGAAACTCAGAATGAGTGCATGGCGGGGGCTGGGGATTTAGCTGAGTGGCAAAGCACCTGCCTGGCAAGCGCAAGGTCGTGAGTTCGGTTCCCGGTACCAGAGAAAAACCAAAAAAAAAAAAAAAAAAAAAAGAATGAGTGCATGGCCTTCATCGATGCAAGTTTTCCTTATATTTGCACTGTGTAGTTCTGGAGGTACTGCTTGGAAATACTGCCCATTTTCATGCTGCTGGTCTTGCTGTGTGGACCAACAAATTGCTTTACCTTGGTAGTTTTCAATAAGAGATACATGGTTTTTAATTGGAAAGAAAATTATCTTAAATTTGTATGTGGACATGAGTAGTCTTCCTTTTACTGTTTTGGTCCCCAAATTGTTCTTCCTTTAAAAATAATTGATTTCCTACAGTAACTGATAAGATGGTACTTTCTCTGCAAATACGAAAATTTGATCATTAACAGAATCTCTAATTTTTCTTCTGTATTAAAGTTTTTTAAAGATGATAAATTGCATCTATTCTAAATAATAAATGAAGGAAGGTTCTCTCAAATGGTTCTAACCAAGCAATAAAGGATGGAGTTGGGATAGAACAAAACTGAAAACATTATAAAATTTGACTTATAGAAGAAAAATGTATTATGTCCTTTCTGAAGTCTATTTTTCCTCAAGATTTCTTTATAAGAGTCTCTTGCCCAGTTATTAGTATTCTTTCAACATGGCCTGCTCCACAGAGCCCAGCCACACAAAGCCCAGCCCCTCAGCCTACTCCCTTTCTCACACCATGACAGATGGCAGAATTCAGGGAAATGACATTTGCTGCAGACCTCAACAAAGCTGTTTTTCTTTCTCTTTCCTTTTTTTCCTTTTATTCTTTCTGTTTTCTTTCTGTAGTGCATATTAGTAATACAGAATAGAGAGATTAATTTTTAGGAAATTGGTAAATGCGTGTAACATATCTTGTAATCCCAGCACTTGGGGTGCTGAGGCAGGATCCCTGCCAGTTTGAGGCTAGCCCGAGCTACAAAGTGAGACCCTGTCTCAAAAAAAGTTGTATTAATATATCTTGACTATTTTCAACCACTTTAACTATATTTAACTATTTAACATTTTAACTAATATTTTCAACTATTACTCCATTTTCCTTCTCCTCCTCCCTTCCAATCTCCAAAAGTCTACCTTCTAGTTTCTGTCCTTTATTTTATTTTATTTTTTTAGTTTTAAAGAGAATAAAAACAACAATAACAAAATAACAACAACGTAGACATTTTGCTTATATGATGGTCTCTGGTTCCATCTACTTCTTGCAGATGACATGGCTTCATTTTCTTATAGCTGAATAATATTCTATCATGTATATATACTCCATTTTCTTTATTCATTCCTCTGTTGGGAACCTAAGCTGTTTCCATAACTTAGCGATGGTGAATTGTGCTGCTATAAATTTGTGCACTTTATCTGATGTGTACTTATCACTGTTGTATGCTGCCTTTAATTATTTGTGCCCAAGAGTGGTATAGCTAGATCAAGTGATATTTCTAGTTGTAGTTGTAGCCTCTCCATGCTGATTTCCACATGGTTGTACTACTTGACGTTCCCACCAACAAGGTAGTAAGGCTCCTTTCCCTTGCCAGTATGCTTTAATTTTGTTTGTTTGTTTGAGATAAGAACTCACTATGTAGTATAGGCTGGCCTTGAATTCACTAGGTAGCCAAAGGGTAGCCTTGAACTCTTTGTGATCCTCCTGCCTCAGCTTCCCAAATGTTGAGACTATAGGTGTGTGCCACCACACCCAGCTCATTTGGCAAATTTTGATTGGGTTAATTTTTTAAAGTTCATTATATATTCTGGGTATTAATTCTCTATCAAAGTAGTACCTTGCAGAGGTCATTCCCCACTCTGTCGATTGTCTCTTCACTGTTTCCTTTGCTGCACAGAAGCTTTTTAATTTGATGTACTCTCACTTGTGGGTTCTTGACATTATTTCTTGTGCCATTCGAGTCCTATTTAGGTAGCCTTTTCCAGTGTTTCCAGTGTTTCCCCTATGCTATCTTCCAGCAGTGTCAGAGTTTCTGGCTTTATATCCAGGCCTTTGATCCATTTTGATTTAGTTCTATTACAGGGTGAGAGAGAGGAATCTGGTTTCAGTTTTCTGTATGTGGTACCCAGTTTTCCTGGCACCATTTGTTAAAAGAGGCTCTCTTTTCTCCAGTGATGTTTTTGGCCCTTTTGTCAAAAATCAAATAGCTGTAGGTGAGTGGTGTTATTTCTGTCTCTTCTGTTTTATTCCATTGATCTCCACATCTGTTTTCATGCCAGTACCATGCTGTTTTTGTTACTTTGGCTTTGAAGTATAATTTGTAATCTGGTATTGTGATGCCTTCAACCTTGCTCATTTTGCTCTGGATTGCTTTGGCTATTCTGCGTCTTCCCTGACTCCATAAAAATTTTAGGATTGTTTTGTCTTGCTCTGTGAAGAATGTTGTTCACATTTTAACAGGAATTTTATTGAATCTGTAGATCACTTTTGATAATATATAACAATATTAGTCCTGCCCCCATCCATGGACAAGGGAAGTCTATTTTTTAATGACTTACTCAGTTTCTTTCTTCAGTGGTTTTTTTTTTTTTGTATGTCTTTTTGAGACAGAGTCTTGCTATGCAGTTCATGCCAGCCTTGAGCTCACTTTGTGTAGCCCAGGCTGGTCTTGAACTCACAACAGTCCTCCTGCCTCAGCCTCCCGAGTGCTGAGATTTCAGGTGTGCGCCACCATGCCTGGCTCTTCAGTGTTCTATAAATTTGATTGCAGAGGTCTTTCATCTCTTTGGTTAGGTTGTTTCGTAGGTATTAAATTTTTCTAAAGCTGTTGTGAATGGAATTGCCTTCCTAATTTTTATCTCAGTAGGCTTGTTGTTGGTTTACAGGAACATTCCTAATTTTTGTGTGATGATGTATCCTACCTGTGATGTTAATCATGATATGGCACCTTCAGTGGATTAAGAAATGCCTAGCAGATTAGTGGAGCACAGTTCTGTACGTGTAGGTGGATGACTGAAATGTAGGTCCTCAACAGAGAAGACCCACCCCAGATATACAGAACACCAACCAGTAGACTTGTAGCCTGGATGGGATAAAAGGAAAGAAAAGAAGGAAGTGTTTTCCAGTTTTTAAGAGTTCCAGTCTTCCCTTTTGCCTTTGCACATCAGTCTCCCCTTTCTTCAGCCTCCCAATGTAGACTCATACCCTTGACCTTCCAGGGAATATCTAGGCCTTTGACTTTGACAGGCACTGCATCCTTGATCCCTCTTGTTCTGTGGTTTCCATCTTCTTGGGCTGAGAAGCTTCTGGATCCTCTAGGTTTCCAGAGTGCAGATGTCCTTTGTGGACTCTTGTCCTCTGATCTTACCTAATAAATCGCACCTAAGTGATAAATCCTTTCACATAATTATACATACATTTTCTATTGATTCTGTTCCTCTAATACACTGCCACCATACCTAATACACTGCCACTTTGCTGAATTTGCTTATCAGATCTGAAAGTTTTCTGGTGGAGTTTCTTGGGTCTTGTATATAAAGAATCATATCTGCAAATAGGAATGATTTGATGTCTTCCTTTCCTATTTGTATCCCTTTCCTTTCTTTCTCTTGCCTCATTACTCTTGCTAAAGTTGCAAGTGGAAGGGCTCACTTCTTATTTTAACTACTAAGATTTCTGGGTTTCTTCTGGTCACCTTTTTTTTGTTTTGTTTTGTCTTTTTTTTTTTTTTGTCTTTTTGAGACAGGGTCTTGCTATGCGGTTCAGGCTGGCCTTGAGCTCACTTTGTAGCCCAGGCTGGTCTCGAACTTGCAGTGATCCTCCTGCCTCAACCTCCCAAGTGCTGGGATTATGGGCGTGTGCCACCATGCCTGGCTGTTCTGGTCACCTTTTGTTCAACTTGTATTACAGTGGTTAGTCTGCCTTCCAGCGCACTCCTATTGACCTGAGTGAACATCTCTGAGTCTCCTGTCAGTGCTGCTTGCCCGTACCCTACCACAGTGGATCAGAGCCATTTTTTAATTCTCAGCTTTGTGCAAGGGTTTTCTCACCACTGCTTTAAGGTAAAAAAATGAAAGGCTTCCTTACAGTAGTTGATTTTTAGTTTTTGTTTTGAGATAACTCAGGAGGAGCTAGTTTCCAGGAAACTTCAAACACCGGATATAAACAATTTCATTAAATTGTACCTATTGTAATATAATTGTGTCTTATTCAGACTGTAATCAGTTTAAAGGACTACTATGTGCTTCTCATTGGCCAGCTGTGATTTAGGGGCCTTAATAAAATTGCTATATTTAGCTGAGAGCTTAAAGTTTTGTTTTTTTTTTAAGATGACTGGGCTTTTTCCTCTGATTTGTGAGTTTTCCTTGTTTGGCTTGAGGCTTAAAGAATTCCTGATCTAGAGTGGGCTGCAAGCCAGCCAGGATTCCAGGTTGGTGTCTCATTCATATTAAAACATAACCTTTAGTATGTGTGTGGCCTTGTGATTCAGAAGGCATGGTTTTAATAGAGAAAGCCTTTTGATTTTTAAAGCTACTTATTTCAATGAAGACATTATTGAAACACTAGTTTTTTCCTCACATCTCTGACAAATTACATTAAATAAGGTGCCCAATCTGGAGATAGATTGATTTAGTATTAACATAGATTTGTTTCTGTGTAACCTGGTTTCTGTGGTTCTCATTAGATATGTGGAAATTTGAGATGCTCTCAGATCCTTTCTGTTGTCATTGTCAGTAAACCTAAGGATGGCAGTAAGGGCAAAATACAGAGGTATTGATTTCTGTGTATATACAGTATGCATGCTTTTCTGTGATCTAAATGTCCAGGAAACATAATAAATTTGACTTGTAGCATCCATCCTAAGCATGTTATTTTAAGGTTTAACTTGGTAATGAAATTATAGGGAAATCTTGGTTACATTTCCTCTTTCAGGTGCTGCTTAATCAAATAATTAAATGTTGCTCAGGACTTCATTTTGTATATTAGTATATTATATTTCAAATAATTAAATGGCTTGATTTATATTTTCAATAATAGAAATGAAGGCATTAAAGAAGAATTACAGGATCTTTTGGACATTTTTAAAGGTCAGTCCATCTCTAGTTGCCCATTTACTTGAATTTATCAGAGAAAAATATTGTTGAACAAGTATAAATTTTGAAAGTATTAATTGAATTTTGGAGCATATATGTGTGTTACCTGTTTTTTGTATTTCTTTAAGTGACAAATTTTAGATAATTGTTCCCCTTCCTTCCTTTCTGTCCTACCTTTCTTTTTGAAATAGGGTCTTGCTTTGGATCCAGGCTAGTCTTGACCTTGCTATGTAATATAGACTGGCCTGAAACTTAGAATCCTCCTGCCCCAGCCTCCCAATTGCTAGATTACAGGTGTGTACCACCACATCAGGCAAGGTGATTTTCAAATATTATTTTGTCAAATGAAATTAAGTGTATTATTGAGGTAGATATTCATTTGCTCTTGGATTTTTTTTTTTTTTTTTTGGTTTTTCTCCGGTACCGGGAACCGAACTCACGACCTTGCGCTTGCCAGGCAGGCGCTTTTGCCGCTGAGCTAAATCCCCAGCCCCCGCTCTTGGATTTTTTTTTAATGGAAAATCTATCTTCAGGAGCCAAAAAGAAACAAACAGAAAATAAAATGCCACTCATTACAATGTCTTTTCATTGAAGACAGTGAATTTATATGTAAAATTGTGTGAAATGTCTTGTGAATTTTACTCATTCTTCTATATAAACAATATTTCAGTATACAATTTGGTAATCTGAAAGGTCTGAAATAAGTCCAAAATCTGCAGATCTTCTGTAGGAATAGTGAATGATTGCAAAAGAACTGGGGACTCCAGTTGGGAGGCTGAGGCAGGAGGATCATTGCAAGTTCGAGACCAGCCTGGGCTACAAAGTGAGCTCAAAGCCAGCCTGAACTGCATAGCAAGACTCTGTCTCAAAAAGACAAAAAGTAAAAAAAGTGGGGACTGCAGGTTATCCAGGCATAAAAAATAAGGTGGATCTAATAAAAATGGCTTACCTTTTCCTCTCCAGGAATGTAAATACCATATATTATAAATGTCATATATATGCAAATATCATATATATTATAAAAGTAATAGTAATAGGTGTCATTTTGCTAGCAGGAGTGCTGATCTACAGACTTTTTTTTAACATAGGAAATAACCTAGAAAAGGTCTGATGTGATAAAAGGAATAGAGGTTTTGCCCAGATGTGAGGCCTGATTTTTCCAAATAGAAAAGAGTACCTCCCAGGGATCATTGACTCAGAGTCCATAACCAATGTCAAATGGTCAGGGCCCATTAAAAAGCAGCATAAAACCAACAGTAGGGAATGTTGAAAGTCAGCCATACTGTGTGAAGCAAGTTTATAGGATCCACTAAAGCTCATTGAAAGGTATTGTGTTCTTTTTCATTCCGAGGTAAAAATTCAACAGAAATGTGGATCAGAGCAGGTTTCAGAATAGGAAGAGGCTTTGGAAATTATTTGATTATCCCCTTTCATTTTAAAAGAGAAATGCAGAATAAGTGGTTAAATTACTTATGCAAGCATCATTGATAGTGACAAGAATAAGACTAGAATACTTTTTATCTATTAAATAATTGAAGATGAGCTAAGGGTGATGGCACACACCTATAATTCCAACACTCAAGAGGCCAAGGCAGGGCAGTTTTGAGTTTGAGGTCAGCCTGAGGTACATAGCAAGACCTTATCTGAAAGAAAGAGGTAAGGAAGAAGAACTTTAACATTTTGGGTAGGAAATGATTTTTATTATGACTGTTTTTTATTTTTAAAATTTACATATAGTAAATTGACCTTGAAAAATAAGTTCTGTGAGCTTTTACACAGCCTCATGTAACTACATTACAGACAAAAGACATAGTTTCATTGTTCCAGAAAACTTCTTCAGGCTTTCCCTGCTTTGGTCAAAACCTTTTGCTACCGTAAGACAGCACATATTTCTTGGCCCTCCCTTTCTCTAGTTTTGCTTATTCTTGAATGCTGAAAATGGAGTTATTCTTCTTTTGTGGAAAAGAGGAGTATATCCTCTTTTGAGAGGAACTTTTTTCTCTTACGTTAGTCTTTTTGAGATTCATCTAGGTTGTACATGTTAGTGATCCATTCTTTTAATTATGAAGTAGAGCTCTGTTGTGTGACTGCAAAACTGTTTCTTTACCTGGTAGTGAACATTTAGTTGTTTCTACTTTGTTTTTAGGACATCTTAAAGCAATTTTAAATTCACTACAAAATTAAGGGAAAGACATAGAGATAGCTCTGTTCCCATGAGGGTACACCTTCCTTGTTATCTACATCTCCTTCCAGAATGGTGTGTGTGTTAAACCTACAGTGAGACATTTTCATCCCACATCCATGGTTTGCACAAGGGCTCATTCCTGGTGTTGTAGATTCTGTCCTTTGGACAGACGCATACACACCATAATAGTACTGTCCACAGTGTGTTCCTGCCCCTACATTCCTCTGTGTTCTGCTCATTCATCCTCCCTGCTTTCCAACCCTTGGCGACCTGCTGGTCTGTTTACTGTTTCCATATTTTTGCCTTTTCCAGTAATCATATTGTTGGAATCATACATATGTACCCTTATTCAATTTGACGTCTTGTTTCTTAGTTTTTAGCTATTAGGAATAAAGGTGCTATACTTTTTTTTAGAGAAAAGGAAGAAATTCACTTATAGTAAGCCCTGATAGCATGTAAAGAATTCACAAAGCTAACTCCATTTTAAACCTTTTACACTGAGATAGTTATAAATTTATAGGAAGTTGCAAGGCACAGTACATAAAAACCCACTCACCCAATTTCCTTTATTAGTTAGTTACATATGACATCTTTTGTAACTCCGAAACAGTATCAAAACCAGAAAACTGATACTGATGTAAAGTCAACATACAGTTCTTCAGCATTTTATCACATACATAGATTTATGTACCCAACACTACAACCATGATATAGAATTATCTTGTTGCTGCGGCTGTTCCCCATAAGCTCCCACCCCCATCCAGAGAGGTTGCTGTTCAAGAAGGACCCTAATAGATGTCTGAAGCTGTGGAAAGTACCGAATGCTGTATAAATCATGTTACGTTCTGACTGTAGATCTTAGCAACCTCAGCATGCAATCTTTTTCTTTATTTATTGAGAACTTTCACTTTTTCTTTTAAGGAAAGCACTTTGTAGCTTGTCTTTGGCATATCTGAAAGGCCAGCATCACTAGCGTTTAGTGATATTGGTGATTTCTATGTGCTTCAGTCACACTAGAAGTTTATCAGTTTCATTAATGTTCTTTCAAAGAATCAGTTTTCTGTTTCATTGATTTTTCTCTGTTTTTCAGGTTTGTATTTTATTGACTTCTGTTCTTTATTATTTTGTTATTGTCCACTTAGTTTGGCTTAACTTGCTCCATTTTTCTAGCTTCTGTGGTAGAAGCTTAGATAACTGCTTTTAGGCATTTATTCCTAATAAAAGCAAAGAAAATTGTAAATGTCTTCAAAGCATCTCACAGATTTTGATATGCTGTGTTTTACTTTCATTCAGTTCAAAATATTGTAAAATTGCTTTTGTGGTTTCTTAGTTGGCTCATGGGTTATTTTAGAAGTATATTGCTTGATTTCCAAATATTTGAGAGCTTTCCAGTATTTTTCTGTTACTGGTTTTTAATTCAATTCTATTGTGATAGGAGAATATACTGTGTATAGTTTCAGTTCTTTTAATTTGTAAAGACTTAATCCGGGTTCAGCTGATTGCCTGTCTTGATGAAAGCTTTATAGGCATTGTAAAATTTATATTTTACTGCGGTGTATTGAGGTCTATAAATTTCAGTAGAGCTAATCAAGTCTTCTTTATGCATGCTGGGGTGTACATGGCCTTACAGTTAGTGAAAGAGGAGTGATGATGTCTCCCATTGTAATTGTGCTTTTTCTCCCATTATTTCTGTCAGTTTTTACCTCATGCATTTGGCATATTTGGTGCAGTATACATATGTATTTAGGATTCTTCCATCTTCAAAATGCATTAACACTGTGTTCACTATTGAAATTCCATTATCTCTGATAATATTTTCTGTTTTGTCTTCTACCTTGTCTGATGTAAATATAGCTTTCCCAACTTTCTTGAAATTTTAATTTTCTATCCTATGTTTAACTTTCTTTCTTTTAGTGTGGGATTTATACAGCATATATTTGGGCCTTTTTATTTCATTTTTTGTGTTGTTTTGGTTATCGTTTTGAGACAGGGTCTCACTATGTAGTTAAGAGTGGCCTTGAATTCATCATGTAGCCTAAGCTGGTCTCAAACTTGTGACATTCTCCTTGCCTTTGCCTCCTGAGTGCTGGGATTACAGATGTGTGCCACCATGCCTGGCTTGTACTATGGTCCCTTGAGTTATGACCAGCCTGACATATGAACAAATTGGGTTATGAATGGAATTGTAGTTTTAATTTATGACCAAAGTCTTGTGTTATGACCTGAACGCTGGCTGCTTAGGCTTTCAAATGGTCTCAGGTACAGATTAAGCCCTTAAAGAGTTGTGGAAGGAACATTACCACATCCTTTCCTGTTTAGGATTAATTGAGAAATCCTGGGCTGGGCCATTGTCTCTCTAAGCACACTGAGATCTGTCTATATACAGGAAAGAGACTTCGAAGGCTTCAGTTGACAACTTGAGTTACAATCAGCCCTCAGGAGCAAATTGAATTCATAAGTCAAGGTTCCACTGTATTTCATTTAAATTGCATATTTAGATAATTTACACTTATTATATTATTAACATGGTGGGGTTTAAATCTATTATTTTGCTGTTTTGTTTTAACTTAATTATGCTTTTAGATTTCATTTACTGTCCTTTTGGCTCATTTGCTCCCCGTTTTAATGCTGGCTATATGATTATAATTGGTCTCTGTAACTTGTAATGCACTTAAATTACATGCTATTTCTCATTCAAGGTAAAACCTTTACAAGAGTGTTCTTTCATTGTCTCATAATCACTGTGTTTTTCTCTCTGAGCTTCATTGTGAATAAAGTATGCTGCTCTACCTTCAAGTTCACTGGTATC